TAGGATTCTGCAGAAGTGAGATGTGCTTTTACAAAAATGAGAGTGCTTATCCAACACAGGATTTTCTCAGCACAAGAGTACTTCAGAGGCCAATAACCTGTATCTTTAACATGCCTTTGTATGGTGTGATGTGCACTGTTTAATTTCTGGAGGGTTAATCAGTCCAAGATAGACCACCTCATTGGTGCCTACTTTAAATGAATTAGAGATTCCACTGTGGTTAGCAGAATAGAAGTGTTGTACATATAACTGGATGTGAATCTTGAAAACCATGATGGGCTTACTTCAGGGGCAACACAGCAGCTGCTTAATGGGTTTGAAATCAGTGTGATGAACAGCTTTGTGGTTTAGAATGCATGCATTGAAGGTCCCCCTAAAACACATCCCATTGTCATTCTTTGTGGAGGGGTCAATCATTAATAGAAGGCTCTGGGAGGGACAGATTTGTCATTTATACTCCAGCTGGCTTGTTGACTCTGCTGCATACTCTCCAACAAGCATATTTTGATTTGGTGTGTCTAAGAGAGGGGAAGCAAATGTCTGAAGCATTCTTCAAAGAACTCAGAGTAACTAAAGAAAATGGGCTTCTGGGAGGTCACTGTCCTAAAAAAATCCTGTGCAGTTGATTATCATTTAGATTACTGTTCAATGAGGAAAGTGGAGCTTTGCAATCAGAGCTGTAGATAAAGGTCAGATGGGAGGAAAAACAGGCCCACTCCCACAGACAACCAATTGTGCTGGTGTCCTGGTGGTCCTCAGTGCTTGCTAGTGACACTGTCAGCTGTGTGAATATTGACACTGCCTGTCCCTCTGTGTACATGCCTGTGCGTGCACACACACACACATGAAGTGGGTATTATGATAAATATCTTCATGTGTTTATAAAGATTCATGGGATGTTGGGACTTTGATTTTATAACAGCAGCCTCAGAAGCTCCAAAATCTTGGTACATGGTTGTTTGTTGACTTTGAAACATCCCAGGGCTTAAGGAAGCCTGGCCTTGCCAAATTAAATTAACAATAGGCCCTGTAGTTTGCATCTAGTAATGATCTAGATACAAGACACTCTGGAGAAAAAGTAGTTTCCAGAAAGAACAGAAATAGGCAATTTAGTAATCCTATTGAGGAGAAAAAAAATTCCACTGTTTGAATGATAATGGGAGGTAAATACAATTACAATCTCTTTCCACCATATCAGTGGATTAGAGTACCTGAATCTTCCAGGAAAATCCATAAAAGACCTATGAGTAGTCTGAAAATTATTCTTATCTGTCACTTTAATTTTATAAAGATGGACTTTCGATTAAAAGGGAATTAATAGATGGAATTTCACTATGTTTTCAATAAAGGACGTACAGGATGGACTTCTATGCCATGAAATGAGACCTCCATGGTTCCTGCTGCATGTGTCCTGGAAGAGCCAACTGTAGCTTCTGGCAGGTCCACATGGCCCTTCCCACTCCAACCACCGCTGACTATTGGGGAATACCTCTTTCTAGTTCTTCCATGGAGTCTTCTTACATCCTCCTCTCTGGTGGTGGACAAAACCCTCCTCCATGAGGCCTCTGCTCCTCTTATACAGACATTGGTCCTACCACTTAATGATACTATTTATCTGGTTTTCTTCCTGAGATGTGTGCTCTTAGTCTTACTTATCTTTGTGTCCTTACTGCCTAGCACAAGGAGATAAAAACCAACAATTGTCAGATGAATGAGTTGCTTAACCCAAAGCCTGGGAGTCATCTGGATTCATTTCTCCTGGCCCCACAACTAACTGTTCACCTGTCCAGTGTAAATGAGTTTCACGGCTATCCTTCATGCCAAGCATTGCTGTCTTTCACCCGTTGGGCTGTGATTGCCAGAACCATCTTCCTGCTGCCACTTTTTGACTCTCTTTCACCCAATTCATGTTCTAAAGAAGCACTGCAGTCATCTATAACCAATAAAAGTCAGATCTTCTGTTTAAGACTCCATATGACTCTCCCTCTCTCTTACTCTGAAGGCAAACTCCTTTCACAAGCATGTAAATCTCTTTAAGTAGCGGCTTGCAAAATAAAACAGTGGTGATTCCCAATTCCAGTGCACATTAGAATCATGTGAAGATTTTGGTTTGGATTCCAGTGCATATCTATGGGAATTTTTGTCAAAATCCCCAGGTGGGCTAAAAAGTGTAACCTGGGTGGAAAACCATGCTTGTCTGCTCTCACCTCTGCGTTCTTGCTCACACTACAGCTGCATTCCTACATCAAGAACTCACTGTTCCCTTCTCCCAGGTCTTCCCATGACTGGTTCTGTGGTCATTTGAGTCCTGAAGGAGACTTCTTGACCAGCCGAGTCTCCCTTTACCATATGGCAGTGCTTCATTTTATTAGAGCACTTGCCAGTGCTTTGCAGCCTGCCTCAACAAATGCAATCTCATGATGGCAAAATCTCATTTGATATTTTTTCTTCCCAGCATCCCCTAGAGAGATAGTAACTGCTTGTTAAATTAAAGGAAGTCGGAAGCAGTATAAGAGGAATGAAATTTGGATTTCTTGCTGTTCAGGGCTCCCAAAATATCAGTTCTGCAGCTCTGAGCTGGCAGCAGTGTCTTGAGGTAAGAGCAGATGTAGGCAGAGCTGGGCTGACATATGCTGAAACCCTGCTCTGACACTCACTGATTCACAGTGTGAACCTGAGCAGGTAACCCTCACCCTTTTTGGAAGTCAATGATTTGAACCCTAAAATGCAAATTATAGGGTTGGTATGAAGATGAATTGAGATCGTGTAGGAAGGCATCAATAAATACTAGCAGTATCATTACAAACCATCATATTGGCCACCCAAGTGTAGAACACAGCTCCCTCTATCTCCCTGGCCACTTTCCTTCCTAAAGTGAGAAAAGCTGCACCGTGGGGGTGTGTTGTTTAAACTCTGATGAGGTCAGAGCTATTCACACTACACTTGCTGAGGGTTTCCTCCCCTTTTTACCTACCCCCCCCCCAGGAAGGCCTTTGTGTTTATCAAAAAGGCTTGGTGGTGTTAGGAAAACTCAAAATCAATAGCAACCAACATGCAAACACTTCTTCAGGGCAGAGAGGTTGAGCCCTGGCACCCAGGGAGCGCTCATGGATGCAAGCAGCTTGTTTTGCACTGAATATGGGCTGCTGGGCCCAGAATTTAACCTTCTGCTGCAGCACAGCAGGCAGAGAAGGGTTCAGAAAGCAAAAGAATGGAGGTGTCAGATGGCTCATATTTTTTTGTTTCCTCTTGGAAATTAAACCAAAGTTTAATTATGGGATCAGGTGCTCTAAAAAAACAAACTGAAAAAAAATGTCTAATTTTGAGAGTAGGCCACATACTACTGAATGGAGATTATGAAGATCTTATGAACACAACTTGTCATGTTTTTATCCTCTAAAGCCACAAGTAGACAAGTAGACAGTAGACAAGTTGTGGTCTAAGACAGGCCTGTAGACAAGCTCAGATTTGTCATTTTAGAAGGTTCCTCCTCCCTGTCTGAGTGGAAGTCTTGAAGCAGTAACATGTTTGCTTACTCAAGTCGCTGACTCACTTTAGATGACACTCTTCTCTGGGATTTTGCTTGTTCCCTCTGTCTGGAGCAGAGGTCAGGGTGAGGCACTGGAAGGCATCTTGGCCCATCACAGTCTTGCTAGTGTATCATGTTCTTGCTCTCACAGCCCCTCACCTTTCTAAACTCTGGTGACATTTTCTGTTAAATGGGAATATTCTGATTTCTTTTTTCCTGTTTCTCCTTTGAGTCCTCTCTTTGAAGTTAAGTAATAGTGTCATACTGTTTTCTAATGATGTTTGAATAACTAGACAGAATGCAAGCTTGGCTGTGGCATTGTCTTTCATATCGTAAATCAGTACCTACATTCTATTTCTCTGGAGGAGGAAACATTTGTTAGTAGTCTTTTCTCTATCCTACTTTATTGCATATTCCTGGGTTATTCTGCATATTCTCAAGCCTGAAAAGTCTCCCAGTGCTCCATTGGGTGGATGTTCAAGAGTGGTGGCCTGAGGATGGGGGACAGATAAATAGAAACATACTCAAGTCTTAGTTGGGGATCACAAGGGGCCCACTCCAACATTCATGTTTAGCAAGGATGCCAAGCTGTCTAACTACTTGTACTGAATGAAGACAGCTGGTCACTGGCCAGTCTAGTATTTAGGAAGCATGGCAGTTGCTCCGATACATAGCCATGCAACAAGCACTCTAGGAGCATTTATTTATGTGTGTCAGATTTTTGGCTAATCTATGGGCTGAGACTCCCATGGAAATTCCAGAGTTGTTGCAAAAGGTCCCATTTCTGCTATTGAAAAGGGTAACAGGCATATGCTATCTTTTAACCCAAAGTAATTTTAAGCATGCCATATGTAAGCATCATGATGATTGGTAGTATGTACTTACATTGGAAAACCTTCCAGTCTCACAGTGTTTTTGCCACAGTTTTTACTCTTTCTGAATTGAAGGACACTGAGCATAGATGACTATGATATTGTTCCCATGACCTCTTCTCATACAGAAAGGGGATAAGGTGGTCTTCATCTTGCAGAGGCTGAGTAGCCTTAATGGAGGATGATGAGAGAAAGTGAAACCTCCTGCTCTCAAAATGCTGTAGGGACAGTTGGGAGATTTACTTGTCCTTAGATGCCTTGAAATCCAAGTATGGAGATTTTTCTGTGAGATGACCTTAACACATGGTGCTTCCCCAGAATACCATGACTGTTGCTAAAGGAAGCGTTCAGAGCAGTAGCCTTCCATGAAGTAGGTCAGATAGTGTTATAGATATATTTACCTGTTGTCAAGACCAATGCCATTGGTTGGCCAGTTATCAATCCAGCCTTTTAAGATGTCTGAATCCTGCAGTCTTTGTCACAGGCTGTGGTTTAAGAGTAGTAACCAATCACAGAGAATGTACTAGATCTAAGACAATAGTTTCAATGAGATATGGGTTCTGTATTTTCTCAAATTAATCCTCCTATTTTTTTTCCAGATAACTTGTTCAAACCCAAAGAAAGGTGTATTTCAGAGAAGGAGATGCACATGCGATCTAAAAGGTATTTGATTGTTGTGTGACATTGGAGGAAGTTGGGGAGGAGGGTTGAGATGGTATGGTGGATCCACCTGCTGACCAGTGGGGCTGCTGTTTCTAGGTCCATGTTTATGGTCTTGACCACACATCTGAAAAACTGGCTAAAATGAGTGCACTTTTCAAATTGTACCTCTGAATATTTGTGCTTCCCTTGGAAAGTCTTAGGAAAGTGGGCGGTCTTGGATTCTGGACTGACCCCGTAATTGGTCTTTGAGTAATCCCTAGACTCTGAGCTGGAACTCTTCTGCACATTTGCATCATCATTCTGGGCAGGAACTGTGTGTTGCTGCACCTCTGAAGGTAATTTTACAAAGAAAAGAGAAGCTATTTCTCCTGAGAGCCTTGACTGCAGCCCAAACTGGAAGCTGGTGGAGTGTGGGAGCCAGTGGGGCCTTAGAGGGGCCATAAGCTAGCTTTCCTGGCGCTCCATCTCTGACAGGCTTGGAGGCCCTGCTGCCGGAAAATTCTCCCTGTTCTGCTTGGGCAGTTGCTGTCCAAGACTCCCACTAATTCTCATCAACCTGGTCCATACAAAGACTGCCATTCTTCCCAAGACCTGGCCTCTTAACCAAAAAGCAAAAGCTTAGCAGTGTTGGCCACCTTCAAGCAAGTAAAATACCATTAGGTTATAATAAAGTATCTAGCACTGAGAGGAATTATAATAATTAAATCAGACTGATAGTGTGCTTAGAGGCTCCATTGAAATAGAAAGAATAATACTCTCTCCCCACTCGAGGCCCCAAATCTCTGCTTTTACCATGATTATGTTGTTTCCATAATTAGGTAATTTTGATCATCTACAGGGAGCCTCTTTGTAAGGAAGTGAAAAGTGAGGAGAAGGGAGACTTTCCCATTAAAGACCTGATTCATAGCATTCCAACTGTGGTTTCTAAAGGGCTGCTGGGTTTGAAGACTTGGGTCAGAAGTGCAAAGTTGTGTAGACCTCATGCCTAAAGCATTGTTTTTTTAATTTAGTGGGAAAAAGGTCATCTAAATCTTCCCCTCCCAGTCCCCAAAACAAAAACTGCCCTTATGGAGGCTTGCAAACCAAGCAATTAAAATAATAGAGCTCAGAGCAGCATTAGGAGACAGAGTGTTCCCTATTATTTTCATGAAGAGGAAACAGGCTCATAGAGGGCCAGTGATGCAGGTGATGCTGCGCTGGAGGCTTTGGCTTTGCCTGGCTGGCTGGCCTCTTCCGATGGCCCCAGCAGATGGATCCCACTGTTCTGTGGAATGTGCCCTGGCCGGGCTCTGACCCTGGCTCACCCATAGAATCAGCCTGGAGCTTTTCTTCTTTGCATCCTTTGTTTTGTTAAATTATATTTTCTTGAAAATTTTTATTAGTATGTGATTGTAAGACATAATGGTTACATTCATTGTGGAGAGTTGGTACATGTACGTATGGAAGACATCTTAATTATTTCTACTTTCCCTTCCCCTCTCCACTCCTCCTCCTCCCTCCATCTTTTGGTCCCTTTCATGTGCAAAAGATCTGTCTCCCGTTTTCCTATTGTCTGTCTGCTATTTTGCTCTTCATTTATACTTTGGGTTTCTCATATAAGAGAAACTATGTGATATATAAGTTTGTGTGTCTGACTTCTTTCACATTAATGCTATAGTCTCAAAGTACATCCATTTTCCTACAAATGACTCAAATTTATCCTTCTTCATTTTGTTAAATTATATTTTCATTTTTTAAAAAATGGAGGTAAAGCTAAAGTTCCTTTACAACCAACTATTCTGCTCACCCTTTCCACTCCCTTTCCCAGTCCCAGATCTATCTGCTATGATGCCTGGTTATATTTCTGTTTTACAATAGACTTCTATTTGTACATATACAAATATACAGTTACGTGACTGCTTTTTAATTGTAAGTGGTATCATATTGCAGATTATCTTTCTATACCTTGCTTTCTCTTTTTTGCTGTCTTTTCTTTTTTTATTGTCTGTTAGCTTTTCTTTCTGTGTCTGAAGGCACAGATTATTTTCCTAATCAGTTTTGACATCTTTAGAGTGATCCATTATATGAATGTACCATAATTGATTGGGGAATCTCTTTTATTTGTTTGTTTTCTTGTTTTTGGGGGGTTTTTTTGTACTGGGGATTGAACTCAGGACCTTGAGCTTGTGAGGCAGGTGCGGTGCCATTGAGCTAAATCCCCAGACTGGGGAATCTCTTTTAAGAAATGACTAAATTGGGAGTGACAGAGGTGGGACTGAGGAGTTCTTATTTGAAACTCCCCAGTTGATTCAGATGGCCAGTTTCAGGAAGAGAAGTTTGTGAATTTGAAGGACTTTCCACTGTGGAGCTTTGGGACACATTGGCTTTACTACTGATTCCATTACGGTCTTCTCTCCTGGCCCTTTCCAGAATCCTCCTGAATGCATCTATTCATGTATTCATTCAATCCATGTTGATGCTCACAGTATGCCAGATACTATCTAGCACAAGCATTTTCTGGACCTCATGAATTGACGCCGTATAGTTGGGTGACAGTGTGGCATAGTAAGTAAGAATCAAACAGATTGAGGTTCAAATGCCATCCCACCAGTAGTCAGCTGAGGGACTTTATTCTAATCTCTGATCTTGCTGAGACTTTATTTAACAGTGGAATGCTATGTGCCTCTTCCAACTATTGTGAGAATTAAATGAGTTAGTTCATGTCAAGATTGGCCTACTGTCTGATAACCGAGATGTTACCTGCTGATATTTTCACCATTATACCATGTACATATGATTTTAATGGTGGAACATCTTAAAACGATTTTGCCTGGCTTTCAAACATGAGAAAAAATGAAAAGAAGATGTTTTTAGCCGAGAGCCATGTGTATAGCAACACGAAGGCCCAAGCTGCAGGATCGCCTGCAGAAATCAGTGGATTCTAGCAGGAATACTGGCTGGCATCAGTACATAAACAGTCTCTGTTAGGAGAGAGGAAAGAAGTGTCCAGAAGAAGGGTCTCTTGGGCCCTGCTTATCAGTTGGAAGCTCCTAATTTTATGTCAGAACAAGGACATAATATTCATGCCTGGTGTGAATCTGGAAAGAGCTTAATTAGAAGTGCAGTAGGTTGAGAGGAAACACACACACGTTTCTGTGCCCTTTGTTCCAGCATTATAATTCCTGCTACTTCTTTTCTAAGTCCGCAAAAGACAAAAACTGTATGTCAAGATAAAAGAATTTGGTGGCAAGTTTATATTAAGGGTGGCAAAGCAGTTCAGATTCTCTCAGTTTACAAGTAAGGAATCATGACTGAGAAGAGAGGGACAAGAAAAACGACTTCTGAGTAAACACCTGTCCTCTCCAGTTTGCCTGTCGCACTGACACTGGAAGTACACGGACCTGGTGCTGTTTCCTGCCTGCCTTGAAGCTGTGTTCTGGGGACCTCAGGGAAGCCCTTTGTGTTAACATCTGATGATGTGGAGAGAGCCCACATGCAGTGCTCTTCCTCTGAAATGCGGGCTCCTGCTGACCCGATAGGCCGCGCTCCACCGCCTGCACATGCCGCCTGCCACCATTCAAAATGTTCTCTGCATCTGTTTCAGAATCTATAATAACTTGCCGGAAGTTAAAAAGCAAAAAGAAGAACAAAAGAAACGGGTGATTTTACAGAGTAACAGACTCCGTGCTGAAGTCTTCAAAAAGGTAATGGTTTCACTCCAGCAGGTGTGATGTGTGTGGCTCACAGATGTGAACGTGAATTTGACATCTTTGTTTCCCTGCTTCTCCAGCAATTACTGGACCAGCTTCTTCAAAGAAAGGCGGTCTGACCCCAGGCTGCCCTGCTGACCATTACCTAGACCTGGGAAGACTTCAAACACTGCATAAGCCGTTAAACATACCATTATCTTCATGACATGAACATACTTTTTTTTTTTCATAAAGGAGAACACTTCGTGAATGACTGACCCAAGCAAACAGAAAGAGTAATCCTCAAGGAAATAGGTCAATAATCTGGTGGAGAAATCAATTCCATGTAACCCACTAGACTTAGTCCTCTTCATTTTTTGACTTCTGAGTTTAACCCCTTGCTTCTGATGTTTCCTCCCTGCCATTACCACCCAAGCAGAAAATCCTAAATACATTCAAGTGTGCTTAGATCTCTGTGGAATATTTTTTGATCAAACTTCTGGGACCAAAACTCATCATTTTTTAAAACCAGTCCCAACATGTCGGTTCTGCAAACTCTATAATGTGGGTCATCAGATACTGTATTTTTAAATGTGCATCCTCTAATAGCAAGCAGGAGCTCACTTTGGGAATGAGCAGGTCTTATGCAGCAGACTGTGGAGCAAGCAGGCTATTTCTCTGTAGCCCAGAACAGTCAGAGTAGCCCTCAGCTGCCCCTCACACTCCCCATGCACACTACTCTATCTTCTCTGAGCCAAAGAGCCTCTATTTCAGTGGGACTTTTGAGGGCAGAATTAGCTGAATAAATGTGTAGGGGATGTCAGTGTTTTCTGCATCCCAACCCTTCTCCCAAAAGAAGCTGTGCTGTCAAAATGGCCTAATGGCTCCAACTCTGCTAATTGTTTTCCCAAATATTTACAGTATCCATTATTTATCAACATGAATCTGGGGAGTTGAGAACTGGTTTTTACAAGAAAAAATGGAAATAAATGCAATTATTCAAACACGTAATTGTCTGTGACATTCTAATCTGCGCGGAGCAGGGGCGATAGATAACACTCGATATGAAATGCCACATGGCCTGGGCATTACGTCCACCACCTCCACAGAGCCCTTCCTGGTGCTTCTGGATGCCCCAGTGGAGAATCTGCCTCCCAGGGAGCTTGTGCAAAAGAAGCAGAGATCTCAAAGACTACAAATCTCATTTGCTATAGCCCTAGGAATGAGACAAGTTTTGAGGATGCCGTAGATGTCCCGGTGATGCCTCTGTCTGTTTTCTGAAGTTGCTGTCTTCCTTCTCTCCCCCACCACTGCACACACTGTCCCCTCTGTCTGGACCTTCTGTCCTTCCCATGTCTGCTGGCAAACAAAGCCACTGCCTCTGTGTTCTCTCCTGACACACTGTGCCCTCTGCTCTGCCCTCCAGTAGAATGAGAAGCCTCACTTTCACGTCCCCATCGCCCTTCTGTTCATAAGAGGTGGAGTGACAATGCCACGCTGTGGCAACTTGGGAGCCCAGCTACCTGGGTTCAGATCCTGGCTGCTGTTGCTGGTCTGTGGTCCGAGGCATGGTTATCTGCCTGGCCCAGCCAGGAGGGAGAAACCACACAGCAATGAATGAGAAAATTTCATGCGTGCAAATATTAACCATACAGAGGATAGATACAGCAAGGGAGTCAGGGAGAAGTAAAAATGGCTCTAAAGGAGACAGATAGGAACTGCAGATATAAGGAGCAGTAGTACCCCTAGGAAGAGGGTCCCCTGAAATCCTGGCTGAGAGGGGATGGTTGTAGCCCCACAGATGGCAGAGAACTTTCTGTTCTGCCATGCTGATGGAACTTGTTGAAAATACACCCTCTGGAACTTGCCAGAAACCTGGCTCTGGGATGCAGAGAGAGCTGTCTCCTGAGGCCCTGTGCTTCAGTACCAGTTCAGGAAGGCCATGAAGCCCATGCACTCCAGAGGCCTGGCTCTGGAGCCTGCTGAGCAAACACAGGTTCTAGGAAGGGACACCTTTTTTCCTCCTGCAACATCTCTCTGGTGGCCCCTATGGGCAAAGTTTTGCCAGAAGGCAAAAGGAGACCACTCAAAGGGCCTGGATCCATTTTCACAGAGCAGCCAAAAAGGGTGGACTTGGAAGTAAAATAAGAGTACAGTCAAAGATTGACACAGTAAGTCATTTACTTTTACCTCAGTTTCCTCAGCTGCTAGGTGGTGACAAATGTAGTGCCTCCTTCAAGAAGTTGCTATGGAAACAGTAAGTCAGTGTAAATGAAGAATATGGAAAAATACCTGGCCCAAAAAACCTGAGCACTGTGTTTTCCACCCTAAACAGAGGTGAGAGGAAGAAGTGCATAGGGACTGTGTGTTGCTTGTTCCCTGAACCCCTTAGCTTGGCAGTGAGATGATCCAAAAGGCCACTGAATCACGGGCACTGCTGCAGCTGAAGTCATTCATACATGCAAGATGCTTCACAAACTTATTTTGTCCTCGCTCATGCTGCTCTGACCCATAGGGACCATTTCTGCAGAATGACAAGCTCACCTAAAGGCCACTTCTGGAATTTTTGGAATCATTAGGCTTCTCCCAAGATGATATACTGAATATCTATTTACATTCTAAGTGCCTTCTAAAATAAATACCTTAAATCAAATATATGATATATGAGGGAAATCTTTCTTAGATAAAGGTCTTGAGACTTTTTTTTCTTGCTTTTCTTCAATATCTTTGGAGAGTTTACTAATCATTTAAATTTAGGGTGCTAACACTTCTAGACTGTTCTACCTTTCAAAAAATGGATTTATGTCAGCTAACATTTTAAAAAGAAAATGCCTGGGTGGAACCAACTTTTCAAAAAATATCCTTGAAGAACTTGCCCTCATTATAAACCAGTAGTCAAGTCCTAAAATCTAAAGAATAAAAGTCAATCTGAGATTAAATGCACTCATTAATAATATTTCTGAGGACAGTTCTTAACCAACATGCCTGAGGTGGAGAATGGACAGCCAGCTCAGGACAAGGCTGGAAAATAAAGTCTGATTTTCTGTTGAACCAATTTTTCTTTCCTATTGTTGCTGAAATCATTTTGAATGCAGAAAAATGCAATTTAGATATCTAGCATCTCTTCTCTGTTGTAATAAAGTTGTAATAGAAATATAATAATATAAAAATGTTATAATAAATATGGCAGTAAAAGCCTGATGAATCAAACAGTCATCCCTTATATTTCTCTCAGGAATTGGCCACCATTTCCTATATTTTTAAAAATTAAAATCAGACTTTAGGAAAAACTAAAAATTCTAAGTGGAATTCACCATTGGAACTTTAGTAAGCAAGCTCCATTCTGGAATTTATCTCTTTACATCTGTGTGTTCTGGTTCTGGCCCAGAAAGAGTTTTGAATGATTCCTCAGGTAGCAGGGGTTAGACTTGTAGCTGAGGTTCATGAGTCAGGATCAAACAACATCTGCAATGACTGGAGACGCATTACCAGGTGGTAACAGCACCAGGCTGTGTCACGGTGGTCTCCATGACTTCATGTCGAAGGAGAAATTTCTATTTTGGTTACTTGTCCTTGCTGCCAGCTGGTGATGGAATAATGGAAAAACAATGGCCTTGGTTTTTCTGCCAGTGTCTATTGCCAACCCAACTTCCTGGAAGTTGTGTGCTCCCTGGGTGAGTCAGCAAATGCTTGCTCAGATGGAACAAGGCTTTTTGAAAGAACTATTTGTAAAACAGCCAATCATGGGATAGTGGTTGAAAATTCTATGTCTCACAGAGTTCTCTCATTTCAACACTTACTGGTAAAAAACAAAACAAAAATGCAGGCAGTTGAGCTGTCTCTGAATTCATCAAGTGACCAGTAGTCTGATATGAGTGGCATTTGATGCAGGCTGACAAGAGAAGGGGCAAGAGGGGCAGGATGTGGCTGCTCAGTGACAGTGACGGTAATCTAACTGTTGGTACTTGAGAGTTCTGGGTTAAGGAAACAAGAGCGTGATAGAAAAATGATCTGCTGTGGGTTTGTGTGAGTTTGCATGTTCATTAAAAACAAAGGAAATGATCTGTTAAACGATTAAAATGAGCCCATCAGCAGATGGTTCCACATGATAGGGTTCATGGAATTGGTACTCTCATCAGTACTTCATAATTGACCATGAATGCCTAGCTCTGTATAAACCTTTTAGAATTGTCTATCATTGGCTGATGCTCCGGGGAATGAATTGCTCTAAAAGTCCCTCCACCCCTCTGTCTGTCCCACACTGTGAGGGCATTTCCCAATTCAGACAGGAGAGCAGGTTGTTCAAAAGCTGCTTGAGATTCCATCAGAACTACTTTTTCTCCAAACCTGTGCTGCTTTTCTGGGAGTGCAGGCTCCTTCACTCAGGCAGATGTTGTAGCCACATGGAACGGGGAAGCAACAGCTTTGGCAAGTCTCCCCAAGAGCCAGGCTTTTTTTTTTTTTCAAGTCATGTCTGATGCCTCAGGCACAGATCTGATGCTGAGAGCCCAGGAGACCTTCCGAGGTAGTTGTCTGGGGTGCGCTTAGGGGACAGAAGGGTGGTGGTGAAATCCTTCCATTCTTTTCCTTGCTTCTCTAAGAATGTTCAAGTACACATTCTAGATGCTGTCTGACTTGCCAGGCTGCTGCAGGAAAGGTGACTCCAGGCAGTGGTCCTTCTCTCGGATCTTAGCACATCAGGAACTAGGAGTGGGAAGAAGAGCCTTTCCTTGACTTGAGCATCATAAAACAATGCTGCATTATTCTTATCGAAGCTTAAAAGGGAAGAGAAAGACCCAGGATCTTAAATGACAACACAGAGTAAAACATGAGTTTCTTTCAATCATTTATTAAATAGCACCAAGAGTGAATGACATAGAAAAAGGTGTCCTTTTGGTGACTTTCAGAGCACTCTTTCTCTGTTTCAACATCTTTACTTTCTGGGCCTGCATAAAGTGGTGTAGCAGCTGTGATTGACATCAGGGAAAAGATATTACAGCTGGCTCCGTGTTAACTCCATACGACAGCGAATATCCTGTCATCAAAGCCAAACGTGCTGCCTGATATACCTGCCCAGTGATGTAAGTAAGGGGGAAATCACAAATCTTTTTAATGCTGCCAATTTATAAATGCACATTTTAATAAATGCGCACTTTGGTATTATGTCCATGTGCTTCCCTCTTGACTATTATTACACTGACACCAAAGGAATTAATAATGACAGCCACTTAATAGGTCCATATGGCCAAGTATGTGCTGACCATTAAAAGCTGCTGTGTGCACATACAAAGTTTGTGTTTTGTTCCGGTGAGTTAGGCCAGATTTGATTGTTATGTGTCAACATAATTATAATACCAGGTCTTGCTCTCTTAGCAGAAATTTTTGTTGAAGCAAAATGATGAAATCACTCAGAAGTGTTTCTTTCTTTCTTCCTTCCTTCCTTCCTTCCTTTCTTTCTTTTTCTCTTTCT